ACCGTCGAAGCGGGGGGGGGGGGAGGTATATACGCCCGCTGAAACGGCAAATTTTTATCCTGCGCGCCCCTCACTCGCAGCCTACTACCCACGAAATCTTAGTTTCACCTCAATCCCACACGTGATTTCGAGCGACTAAAGTGGGTACGACCCCCCCTCCTACAAACTCAACCAGGTACGACCCCCCGTTGTTACTCGTAACAACGTAGGGTTGACCCTGCTACAGGCCTGATGCCTTTGCGAGCTTCATCTGAGTCAAAGAGATTTTCATTGAAGTGCGAGAAAAAAAACCAAAGCTTGCGATTCCTAGCGCACACCAACAAAACCTTTCTCATCGGTATATAAGTTTATCGATTTATAAGAGTTCACCAGTTTAGCTCCGCACGCAACCGCGCGCATCACATGGTAGGCTTAGTGAAACTGGCAAGAGTTCATGCTTGAACGATAGTGATTGCCTCTAGTTGATTCTTCAAAAACAGCTTTCAAATGTGAACTGATATGAATTTCACCAAAATTCGATTTGTTTTCCTAATTTTTTTTTCTAATTTTTTTCCAACTTTATATCAGCACATTTATTGACGAGCACTAATAAAAACATAATAAATGTCGTTCAGTATCCGATAATGTTCGCTTTGGAGTTGGACGTTTCGGATGAAGTTGCGATGATGGATCGCAATGGCAGCATGCCCACCAAAAATGAGAAGGAGGCTATGAAGAATGGCAATACCATAAATAGCTCCTATGGCAAGGACATCGACGCAGCAGACAGAGGAAAGCTGGAGGTGAGCTGCTTTCATTTTCTGGGTGGAACATTCCTAAGCTTGAAGACCGAAGTGCGATGCGACTCGCCAGTTCCAGACGCTATTTTTAGCTTAGAATTTTTCCAGATTGTATTCCTCCTTTACCAACTTTTTACCTTTTTTCGATCTATTCATAATACCTATTTGCATGGAACAGCCAAACCAGTCTTGCTTGGAAGGAAACGCGTGGCGCATTCCAGAAAACCCCTTCTATCAGTGTGTTGAAAAGTAAAAGTAAAACTAAGGTTATGATAATATTATTGCCTGGATCATTTGTCCCATCTGAGATTTTCTCGTTTGATTTTTTTCTCGAGATCACATTTTGAAATGAATGTATGTTCAGTGATTGGAGAAGCAGCTTCACCTTAACATAGTTCTTAGCCCTTTGGGCTACATTGTGCCTGCGGTCAGTAGTCAGTACAGGCTGTTGGTAGGCGACCTACCAAACTTGCCCAGTGTGAATTAAAAAAGTTTTAATTTTAGTTTTTTAATAGTTTTTAGCTTTCAATCCCACCTTCTGCACCTTCAAGGCTTGCTCCTGTTGGTTTTGTTTGGGTAAAACAAAGAGATCTGATGTTCTACCTTGAGAATGCATATACATGTAATATTTATTTATTTTATCACAAGAATGCTGAGTTGTGGGCAAAACTTTCGCCCCAGCCGGGGATTCGTACCCGGATCTCTTGCTTTCCGGGCAATTGTGCTACCAGTTACACCACCGGGGCACCATTTCACCCCAACTCAGCTTCGATGGTGAAGTTACCATAGCTTATCAGCATTCACACGTATAACGTGATGAACCGGTAGGCCGATTTCGGCATTCAACCGCAAGGCTGAAAGCTTTTACTAGATGTTACCATCTTGACTTGTTTATTATATTTATTTTATTATTTATTTATTTGTTTATTTATTATTTTACACCCCCATTGGGCGTGCTCCCTCTTGCGTTCCAACCTCTTGTTTTCCGTACCAGTTCTGTTCTATTTCGTTCCGATTCATTTGGTTTCAATTAAACTCTCCTCGTCATTCCCCTATTGCATTAATCACGCCATTCTGCCCCACTTTCTTTGGGGTATGAAAAATTTTATTTGTGACGGTCTGTGTCTGGCAGGATGACTAAGAATCGTTGGCTAATCTTCACTCCGTGCTAAATGAACAACAATATGGCAACTGTTGTGTCCACCGGGACCTAATTCCCACATTCGCTAATCCATTATTGACGTTCAATTGACTCAGTTTTCAGCAGACTTGTATTATGCGGGCTTCAGGTGGAGAATATCCCTTCAAAGGCACCCTCTACGATCAGTTGGGTCGTTAGCATCGATACTCATGAGGAAAGGGAACAAACCGATGAAAACGCTCATTAATCAATAGCGTAGCGTTTGCCGCTATTCCGCATCATGTAAGGCTTCTGCCACTTCATCTCGGCGGCTGGCCACTAATCCGTGTACGGGATTCCATATGTGGTGCGGGGCTTGAGCTCCTGAGGTCCCGCTTATAGCCCACGTTCTGACGTAATCCGTTAATCAGCTTTTGAGTCTGGAAAATATAATACTACTTGATGCTGAAGGGACCTGTCATATGTGGTGTAAGAATTACAGCTTGAAGATACCCAAGATGGAGTCAGGATGATTAACCAGAGCTGGGCGCAATGTGGCTCGGGGGGGGCAGTCGCCGCGCGCGATCTCTGCGTTTTTCTGTAAGCATTTCCTCTTCGCTAAATCGGGACTAAGCCTCGGGCAGGGGAGGAGGAACTCCAGGATCATAGCAATTTTCATCTTCCCAAAGTTCCTGCCCACTCCTAGGCTTAGTACTACAGGGCGCGGACGAGCAGAGATCGCGCGCGGCGACTGGCTCCCCCCGCTCCACATTGCGCCCTGAGCTATTTTCCAGAGGCTGGATGGGGGTTCAGGATTTTGGGACGTTTAAAAATATCTTTGTAAATCTGAAAAAAATCGAGCCTGATCTCGTTTACGCTACTTCCTACTATCTTTTGAGCGGCTTTAGCAGACCGGCTTTGAAGGCAGTGATCACGAGCTGGAGGGTGGTGCTTACGAATACGCCACTGATTGTCCTTGGTGGACTAGGCTCAACAGCACGCTAGTGGGTGTTCTCTTCCACCAATCAGGTTCAATGACGTCATCAACACCATATCACCCTCCAGTCATAGTGTTGCGCATCGGTGGGTCCAGGAGAGGACTTGCGGGTGGCCAAGGGCGGAAACCGGATGCTTATTAAGGAACGTGAGCCTTAGCAACCAAACAGTAAATGTCCCGCGGTGACCACTTACTTAAAGATGAACTAAAGTGCATTTAATAAACCAAGCAAGACTGACCGAGAATGTAACGACCCGAGAACAAACACTTGTGGGGTTTTACCCGTATTGCAACAGTACTCAAACACAGAACTAATAACTTTTTATGATCCTAAGTTATCTTTAGTGAACTAATAAAACCACATTCAGGTGTTAGAAAAAGCTAAATAAGGAACTAACACACGTCGGGTCGCTTTTTTCGACCCGCCGACCAACCACACTGAATTTGGACTAGGAATAACATCAAGGAATTTAGTTCTAAGGGCTAACGCCCTGCGAGACTGCCGAACGAAGAGAGCGAAGGGGAAGAACCGTAGAGACGTAGACGGAACACCGGGCCGGGCCGTGATGGTGCTGTTGCGAACAGCCCGTGCGTTACCGCACGATCACGGATAGATCAGACGGGGTCATGTCGGCAGTACATCGCAGGCGAAGGCGCGCCCAGGGTTCTTTTGGAGCGATCGACGTGTTACGCGACACATGGGATAACTGCCTTAACCCTTTGACGACAATGGCACCCACCGGTGGGTGCCACTATTCGTCGCGTGGGACAATGGCACCCAATGGTGGGTGCCACCTTAAAATTTCCTTCTTTGTGCATTTAAAACATTTGTAACACCCCAATAATTATAAGCAAGTTCCATAATATCTATGGCTAGCACGACTTACAGAAATGTTTACTAAGAGCTAATTTATATAGAATTTTAGAATGTGCCATTTAGCTCGCCACCATATTAATTGGGATTTTAAATTATTAGGCCGAAGATTAATTACTAATCAGGACTTCTTCGTCTTCTCATAGCCTTCAGATATGGGAAGGGGTTTGAAGTGTACCGGAAATTCTCTTGGACACTAAACTTTTAAAGGTTTTGCCCTCCTTCCCTTTGAAACGCGAGTTCCCCGTCCAAATTTGGAATTCTCTTGAAAATAATTTACAGTATGAAAGCCAGAACTGCAGTTATAACAGGTATACTGTTAGAGTCAAAAATTCTACAGAAAAACTGCTTTGAAGGACAATTTTTCCTAATTTTGAGCGAGAGTTGGGCGCGCCAAAAACAGGCGTGGTCCCACGAGCAAGCTACGTGCAAATCCGCATTGTCGTCAAAGGGTTAAAATTAAAAAGTCGAGGTCACATTCTATCTAACGGTTTCCCTCACCGATATCTCTACTAGTTATTCTCAATAAAAAAAAATTGAAAAAACTCCCTTTCAGAAACGGATCCAGCAACACCATCTCATTGCACGGCCGTTTCTGCGATACTTCTCAAACTCCAAGAGGATGGTTCGGATAACCGTCCCCGAGGCAGCGACGAACGTCGTTTCCACCGTAGCTTCAATACTGGTCGACTTCGGCTTCACTGAGCAACGACAACCGGGACGAGTTATCGTGTTTGGCACGGGTGAGTACCGTCAACTCGGCTTATGCTCTCTGCCTTTATTTACGGCTTTTCACATAAATGTTTTCAACACGCCGAGCAATGACGCGTTGCTTATTAGCGATGATCGCCTAAGAATGTTGTGAATTCCGGCATGAATACGAAATAATTAAAACGCAGCTTCCTGTTTCCTGTAAAGCGCACATACGTAACTTCGGGAAAATTCGATGTTTCCGTTGGGGATCTACATGACTACTGTAATTCGAGCTGTTTCCGATAATAGATGGGGAACTAGGGATTCTCTCGAGATTAAGTGTGGAAGCCCTTGAAATGTTGTCAAGGATGGGACATTTTGAAGCCATTTCAACACCAGCTGGGATAAGGGAATGGAACAGGGTCAGTCGTTCGTTGGGAATTCCTGGTGTTGCCTCTAAACTAGGCATTAGTATTCAGGAAATGATGGGCGAGTGGAGAGAAAAAGAAAATTCTGTGAGAAGTAAGGATGATTTACCGCACGCTGGAGAAACGGCTAACGCGGTGTCACGATGACGCTAGGAGTTTCGGTTCCTTCCTGTTCAGTCCCGATATATAAGTCCACATATGTCCCGCCTGTGTCTTTGTGCTCAAGGTTAGTTCTCACTCTACTGGGATCGTGCAGAACGGAAATTCTTGGTAGGGGATAGAGAACAATAGCAGCTGTTGTCTGATAGGGGAGGGTTGGGGCGTTCGAACGCAAGTTCAGGAGTTGATTTCAAGGTATGATATAGGGGGTGATGTCATTAGACGAAATGTGGGTGGGAATCGATAAAAACTGAGAGGACTGATAAATAATACGATAGCAATTTGCACCATTTATTTCTTCCTCTTCGCCGTTAAACCCGTGCAGCGAAGGGCCCTGCTTATTCTTGAGCCGTCCACCAGGATCTTCTGCCGGTCGGCCTTAGTGAGAGAACTTGTTGTATGAACCGTCCTCCACACCTGTCTGAGGTTCTAGTGGGTCTGTTTGCTAGAACATCAAAGACCAGAGCCTTCCTTACTGGGTAATCCCTTCCCTCCTTAGTACACGCCACTTTGCCATCCAGTCGCCGCTCCATCACCTTCAGTTCGACAGAGACATCCTCCTAAATCTGTTCTGATATCCTCGTTCTGATCGTGTCCAATTTGACGGGTAAGTAACCTAATGATTCTGATCGATCATAATCCTTGTATCGTATCCTTCTTGCATCGTATTCCTATTATAATTCTGTAAATTTAACGGACCTAATGACCAACTGTCCAAATCTACCAAATTTGGAGGACAACTAAAAATTCATTTCACGAATCTCTCTAAAAGAGCGTGAATATCGATCCTCACTGCGGAAGATTTATCAAACAGATTCATTCTAATCTCCTCCACCGAGCTCCTCGTTGTGATCCTTGCTTTTTATACAAAACAAAAAATTTATCAACGTAAGTGAATTAAATCTGTGGGCTAATCGCTTTCGGTTTAACACGCCCCACATATTCTGTTTTAATCCTAAGCTTCTTTGCCGAAGAATCCATACAATGCCCAAATTAGCTCTACGATTGACGTCGATATGGTTGAGATTCTCGTCGTTTCTAAGAGGAAGACAAAAATATTATTGCATTCTGCCATCAGCACGTAGTCAGATAAACAGAACACGAAATCGCACAGAACATGGTTATGGAAGAGTAGCGGGATAAAGCTCTGACCTCAACGATCTCACGATGTAATTTACCGGGTGACAGAGAAAAAGAGCAAAGGATAAAGCAATCGGCGATGATGATCCTTTTCGCGATTTGCCACCCACTTCGATTCAGAATGTAGTGGCATTTTATTGCGATTGGGGCTACACAATTATTTCAATTCAATGCTTTTCTCCTCGTTCTGGTGCCAAACACCGACTCCTGTGAGATGGAAGGCTTGGCTGGCCTAGGCAGAGTTGTTCCAGATTTGACTCTCGCGCTCTGGAAGTGACCTCGCTTGTCACTACATCACCTTTGCCCTTACACTTGAAAAAAAAACACCCAAAAATGGACCAGTATTTGTCCTATTCACCGTATTCCAGCGCTATGACAAGCCGTGGGGCGGAAGTGGTGTAGTGGCAAGTGGCGCGCTTACCACGCGAGCGGTCCGGGGATCAAATCCTGGGTCGTGAGTCGCCCGGGCCAACCAAGCCTTCCATCCCTCCGGGGTCGGTTAATTGGTACCAGACTTGTCTGGGAGGATAAAAACACTGACTTGTACATCGGCTGGCCCCCGCAAGTCATTGTATAGGCCACATCGCATTCAAACGCCACTACGAATGTACAAATGGAAGTAGAATGCGTGCCGCATCCCAAAAAGGGATTGATCAACGGCAAATGCTTTATCTTTTATCGCTTCATGCAAAAGCCGTGTTGTGGCCGAAGCGTGGGAGGAAGCAGCAGCAACGCATTGAAATATGCGGCTTTCTGCACGCCGACAAGACTAAGCCTTAGGAGTGAAGAGGGAAAGACTTCCTCATGTCATTTTCATTAACTACATGTATAATATCCTAACAATAGTTAGTTCCAGTGATTAAATTCGAGGACTCAGTTTCAGATGATGAGGCGTTCGAAGACATCGACTTTGACTACTACAAAATGCGGAAGATCCGACTGAGCGACATCGTCAAAGAAGCGCAATGCGTCTATGGTTAGTGGGTTACTGTTTATCGATACATCAAGAATTCCTCGATTGAAATCGCAGCCTAGCTTATTACACTAATCTTTTACCTATCTCGGCCAAATTTCTTACCAGGAAGGTCTTTCAGGGCATGCCGAAGCTTTGAAACGGGTGTCTGCATGATTATAGCGAGCACAAATCGAAGAACCACAGAACCATGTTAAATTTTTCCTGAACGGCCCTCTGAATACCAGAAAAGGGAGGTCCCTAGTTCGATTCCTCGTGGTGACAAATTTTTGCATTTCGAGTTGACGTTCCAAAATTCGCGCAAAATGGAGTTAGCATGAATAATTAGTACCATATTCATGATTAGGACCGTCAGTAACCCTTACAAATAGACTTTGATTAAAAAGAATGCTGAAAGAAGATGACAGATGCACCACAGTTAGGGCTGCTTGAATTGCTCACCTCGTTACAACAATATTTTGCGAGTCAAGTACTTGTTGTAGCGTTACTGACGCCCTAATCATGAAACATGACATTATTATGCATGCGAAATCCATTTTGGACCACGGGAAATGGTGGCAAAACGATCAACTCGAAATGCAAAAATATTGTCACCAATCGAACTAGGAACTCCTTTTCTGGTATTCAGAGGGCCGTTCAGGAAAAATTAAACATGGTTCTGTGGTTCCCGCATCTGCCCCTATATCATGCAAAAGACCGTTTTCAAAAAGCTTGTCACGCCCTGAAAGACCTTCCTGGTTAGCTTCAAAACTAATAATGCTTTATTGACTTACACTATCAATCAATACACTTATAACCCGTCCTTACTTGACACTTCCTTCTCACCCATACGAACGCAACACATTTCCTTCTTTCGTGGGGGATGGGGTTGTACGTACCAGACTTCCTTGGGGGAAGGAGGAGGAGTATGCGGAGGGATGGGGTGGGGCAAGAGTTGTCATATTTGAAGTTTTTGCGACCGCATAGTGTACTATATGCCAACTAGTTCCATTTGAGGAACGCATAGTAAGCTTGGTCCCAGACCGTTTTGCAAGTCCCTCTGTTCTCTGATCCCTCTCACATAGCAAAGTTCCCTGCGCTTTTATAGGATAACTCAAGCTGTGGGAATTAGCCCTCGATATTGACCCCTCATTTGACTGTTTCTAATCGAAAACCCTCCAATTTTGCTCGACTCCTCCGAAATTCTAGTAGGCTCCCACCGTTGATTCCATAGTAGTAAGCCGAACCAAGAAATGTTCAAAAAAAGCTCGAAGGACCACTGAAGCCACTGAAGCTGAGAACATAAAATTTAAGCAAAACCCCGCCTGTCCAATAACAAACAAGAGTTAATTTTTAAAAAATGACTTTTTTCTCAAAATTACTCATCTTAATTTGTCTTTCAGGGTGATCAAGTATACGCGCTCTATCGCCACATAGAGAAAATTGCAGCACCAGGTGACAACTTTGCTGTCGTGATGGACACCATGAACAACACAGAAATCGATGTTAGCTTCCTTTTCATTTCGAATTGTTTTCATAAAAAGATAACTCGTCATGTCATAGTGTTGGGCAGCAGCCCTCACTACACACATTTCGCTTCTACCGTATTCAAAAAATACGGCGTGCCCATCCCACTTGTATTGCATCCGAAACTGAATTAACGCCCTTCTGAAAAGCGACGAGACAACTGGGTGCTGAGCCTGAAATGATCGAATGCCCATTCTTTCGATAGAGTTTCCAACATTAATGATAAAACGTAGATAGCGACTGAGGATTCGCCCTCTGTAGAGCACCACCACTCCAGATATACACCTTGGTAATTATTCTTTTTATTTCTCCAGCAAAATAGACGTTCTGAAATAGCAGGGAAGGCCACAAGCGGGAACGTACCGCCTGCTTTGAACACAGAACATTGCTTCAGTTTCGTGAAATCGCTGCCAACCAGGAAAGGTGATTATGTCACATCGGGCCAGTTGAAGTGAAGAATACTTTTTACGCACCTCAGCGCTGTAGTCAAACATGCTTTCGCGATCTACCACAAGATTTTCTAAGCTCAGTGACAAACGCTAAAGTCCACGTCAGCCTCTTAGTAAGGTTTGCTCTTTGCTCTTCAACGACAACAAAGCCGCGGAGAAGATCTTTGAATGAGCAGAGGTTCCTTCGATTCAGGCCTTCAAAGTTCGCTGGGTGTGCAGTCAACTGCCTACTTCTTCTGGCAAGAGTAGATGTGTGCTTACCAGCTATTACCAATATATCTATGAAAACTCTACACAAACTAGAACAAATAAATGAACACGCGCACAGTCGGATAACTGCTTTGGTATTATTAAAGCTCTTGTTTAGATCGGCAGATCATATTCAGTTTCTATGGAAGAGATAGCGCATCATCTGACGAATTCATCAAGAACGAGCGCGCGTCGACCCTGATACCGGGTTAATTTGTGTTTTTTAAAACCATTTTTATATGCATTTCTTACGAGAACACCAGATGACATAACACATCTACCTTATCGGAAATAGGAGATATTAAAGGGGACGAAATCTAATGGCGCTAAAGAAGTAGTTCAGTAGAAGCGTTCGAACAAGTAATGTTTACTAGTGAGTTTTAATCAACCACGATAGCACGCAGATTTCTCAGTTAGTTGACTTGGCCTACACGATTTACCGTAACATTCTCGACAACTTAATTATAATACTGAGTTCTAGGGTGCACCCAAGGCAGTTTATTTTTCAGCGTTAATCGGAAAAACCACACTTCCTTGACTGGCTTCCTTGGTTTCCCTGAGATATTAGCGAAAACTCATCATTTTCAAGGGGAGGAAAATAGTGAAGGAGAGAGGAAGAGGAAAAAGCAAGACCACTGTGGGAATGGTTAGCTAACGCTTTCCCCTACAGCGCTCAAACGCGAACAGATTCGAGAGCGACTGGGAACGTACCCGTGAATCGCAATAGCTGCTACGCCGGTTATATTCTCGACACCGCCGCCGCCCGCAATGTAGTCTCCCTGACCGTACTCCAAAATAAAGTGCTGTCAGACCGAATTACGAACTCAAAGGCACGTTCCGCGCTCATATCACTGGAGCCATCCATTTAGTTGGTAGGATGAGCTGATCGCGAAAGTTACCTATGCCTTGTTCGAACGACTCAAAGGTGCGACAAGAGCGCTAGGGCTTGCCCATGCTCTCGGTTAAAGGTCTAAGTGGTCATTCTATCGCTTGCCGTATGCTACGGCCATCTTAATCTTGCTGCCTCTCGCAAAGCGTGCTTCTCCGCATATTCTCCAATTCCAGCATGCTGAATTTCCTCTTTGCACCATTGCCGGCCAACCTTACGGGAAAATTGAACCGTTAGATGTTTTTGGCATTCCTGCTTGATTTTATTTGACTCTGTTTTCACGTCAGTCACTTATCGCGCACTTTCTGTCTTCATGCTAGCGCTTTTGATACCAACAACTTTATCCTGGGGCATACCTTTTTGACCTTCTTACCAACACATGTCGTCCGCGTCCAACGCTCCTAAAATGTGAGTTAAACCTGCTCTTGGTGCTAGTGGAGCGTCTCTCTATACTATTTTGTCCACCGCTTTAATTCTTATCAATTCATTCTCGATTATGTAAGGGCGCTTTTCTAATACAGTGGTTTGAAAAGATTGTTGCGACCTGAACCCAAAACTAGTGAATATACACTTGTTTAGGGTACAATTGACAATGAATACCATCACTTCAACGCATCACGACACTCTGCTTTTTCTCGATCATTTTCCTCGAAACCTGGCTTTGAAGGTTGGACTGCTGTTCAAACGCGATCGTATGGTGGCACCACGTGTTTTAGCTTAAGAGTATATTTCTTAGTTATACGAGTAATACCAGTAATTCTTTAGCGACCTCCATCCGCTGAGAACAGCTGACGGCACGGCGCCGCGGCTAAGGCTGAGAGGCTGGCACCACCGCATCAAATGGTGCGACGTTGACGACGACGTTGACGACGCCGGCGAGTCGACCGGTACGATCACCGACCAATTTTCGACCGAAACGCAACCGTAGCAGCCTTCTCACCTCATGACGCAGCGCATACAATGGAAACTCTCGAATGCCTCCCTCTCTAGTGACCTTATGTACAGTATTCCCTACGTGAAGATCTCTATAGACTTTCTAATGAACTTTCCACCTAAGGCCGATGTCAGACTTTTTATGAATCGCCAGACCCAACGCAAACGCTGCCATCACGGGTTTGAAGCTTGAGCTTGCACTAGTAGCACGGCTAAATGCCCCATTAACCATTATTTCCCCAAATTTTTCCAGCCGTTGACTGCCTCCTTCCAAATCTTACTACTTTTCTAGTCATCCCACGTATGACTCTGACTTAACGTTTCACTTTGCAACATTAGTTGCGATGGAAATTCGGTAGAGAATTTCCTCGTCTACACCTTGTTATACCGTGTTCATACAAATGTATAATTTTGTATAATTGATGCCTAGATGCTCAGTCTTGTATCCACCGATTTTGTGCTACTTCTCCCTATGTAGTCTTAACAGTGTTCGTTACCCTTACATTACAGTTGTGACGGCTTAGGTGAAGCGCGCCCATTTTGCATGCACTGCGATACGTAAACCCCAGAACTTTATGATTTGAAGCTCTTTTATCTTTGACAGGGCCGAAATGGTCAAAATAGACTGAGCGCTTGTCAAAGCCGCAGACCGTGCTACTGTCAAAGAGAATCCTTCTCGGAAAGAATCGCAATTCTATTTCACCCATAATTCACTGGGCTTGGACCCATCGTTCACGATAAGAACGAAAAAACTGCATTTGTTTTGGTAAAAAAAATTCGAAAAACGAAAGGGCTGCTACGCGTTCAAAGTACCGCCGGACATCTGTCACAAATGCTGGCGACGGGAATGCTTCCACTTGGTTCTTGGAGTGCCGTCACTAGAAACTCTTTCTGGCCTTTTGACTTATTGCATTCACATCTCACACTTCTACTGCATCCTATTCTATCGATCGATTTGTCTCTACTCTCCAAAATCGCACGCTTAACCCGATTCTTTCATTGCGTCGCCTGATACGTAGCCGCCCCAAAGGCGGACTTCTTTCCATGCCCGCCTTTGGCTCCGCGCCACTTACCTTCCATTGTCCACAGAATGTAGTTTTTGTAACTTTTCTCCTCGGAAAAAGATCTTTCGTGTTTGAAATGAAGCATTTGTTTCACAAGAATGCTGGGTTGTGAACAAAACTTTCGCCCCAGGCGGGACTAGAACCCGCACCTCTCGCTTTCCGGGCAAGTGCGCTACCAGTTACGCTACCGGGGCACCATTTCATTCAAAAGCTGAGTTGGATGAAATGGTGCCCCGGTAGCGTAACTGGTAGCGCACTTGCCCGGAAAGCGAGAGGTGCGGGTTCTAGTCCCGCCTGGGGCGAAAGTTTTGTTCACAACCCAGCATTCTTGTGAAACATTCGCAAGGCGAACTGCGGCCAAAAACAGCAGTTAACAAACAAAAACAAGTTTGCATGAGTCTCTATGATCACAAGTGACATATGCGTGTTAGGAAAGAATGGAAGATTTTTACGGGAAGGATTCCTTTACCCACGATATCAACTGTCCAGGATCGTTCGCAGTACAGAATCGCATCGCAGCCGCATCGCCTTAGCTCGTGACTACCCCGTACCAGTTCGCAATAGTCTTCACCCATCAATGTGCCTTTCACTAGATGAGTTTTTCAAGTACGAGGTGTTCAGTGGTGACCACTGAAGACTTCTACCATTGTTGAGAGAACGTTTCTTCGATTTTCACTTTATGAATAGAATAAATATTATCACATTTGAATAATCTATTGATCTCAAATAAAAATTAAGACTCAAAGGAATAATTTAGCTATGTGATGCGCACGAATATGAAGATAACCTTGAACAGTCTACACTTTTACATATGGAATTGATCGCGGAGAAAGGCAAACGAGGAGAACAGAAAAACGGGGTCCGATTTAAAACAGCGTTATGGTAACCAGTAATTTTAGAACCAAAATTAATATCACAATTACGCAAACACCCCCCAGAACATAACGAATGAATGACTCTCCACCACCTAATAACGGTAGAAAACATTCTAGTTGATAAAACGGCTAAATTCGGTCGGAACACGAACTGTGGAGCACATGTCGTAGCAAAATGCCGCCCCTTAGCAAACAAAGAACAAGCAAAGGAATGGCTGTTTCTCCAATCAAAGCATAGGAACCAAAATTGAAAATCTACGTCAAGAGCACCCACAAACAGCTGAGACATGCTCACATAATGTGCAAATGGTTCAAGTGGATGATAGCCGACAATTATAACACGGCGTTGCACTTACTCTTTTACAAGGCATTTCATAAATGTGGCGATATTATGTTCTATTGCTGCGCATTCCGACCGACCACGAGTCAATCCTCGTCATCCAGGTTCAGATCATCAAGGTTAATGTCGTTACCACCTTCTTCCGCATCTCCAAAGTCGTCATCTGACCACCGCACTTCGCCAGCATCAACAACAACCTGAACAACGCTTATGAGAATCTAAATACCAACCAAAAAACCTATTTCCAAGAAGATGCTATTCAACATTCCGCTTGCTGCATTTATGTTTCGATCTGTAGACATCGCTCGTACCCGCAAGCTAGGTCTCTACATGAACATATGGTAAAAGTTAGCTGCGTCCTGTGACCCTCTCATTAGTCCCATCCAAACCACCATAAGCATACGCTTCTAGTGATCAGGTGGCACGAATAAATGACCAAAGACTGATGAACTATCAGGCCAAGTTTTGATCCTCACCCCTTCCAAATCTGGCTGCCTCGGATGTCGCCAGTCCAAACCCATGCAATGTTCCAGCAAAGAGGAAATTGGAGAGACAATAAGAAACGATGTCCCACTTTCATTATAGCAGTTTACAATCGACCCCAGTGTCTCCTAATAGCTAATCAATGATTTTCTAAAAAGAGAGAGCCCTCTTTGGAACATTTACTTTCCCTTGGCAGAAAACATCAAGCGACACTTGATAGCACCCCATAACCCACCCCACAAGACATAATATAGAGGAAAAATCATTCAGCTGAACCAATATGCAAAAAAAGCACTTACTTCTGGTTGAGCAGCACGCTGTCCAGCAGCAGATGGCAAAAGATCCGGCCCACCATGACGCGGTACCACATCTGGTCTGGGGCGTTCACTGACCACATCTGGTTCAGCATGAGCAGCGGTAGCAACAGACACTGCCTCACGAGAAAGGCCGTCACTGTCATCGTCCGAGAGCTGAAGCTCAACCATTATTAAATGAATTTGATCAACGTAGAAAACACTATTGACCACACTTCCAACCTGTCTTACATCGTTCTCTGGTTCGGGTGTCGGTTCTCTAGCCGGCGCTGGTGATGGGGTTCGCTTACGAGAAACATCAGGAAGAACTGGAGCAACAACGGGAATGTGTTCTGCGACAGGAGGCGCTTTCGGTACTGAATTCGGTATCAAATCAGTCGAATTCACAACTGGTGCTGTTTTCCGCGGAACGCCGCGAAGATGAGCTTGTCCGGCTTCGTCGAAAGTTACAGCTCCTGAAATTTCAAATTGCTATGGGAAATCACCATGTCAAAAACAAGTAGTCAACGCACCAGTGCTCAACGCCGTCTCCAGTTCTTCCATCACATTTCTGCTCTGATTGGTTGGGGCACGCACCGAAGCCGGTACAGAGAGCTTCGCAAGTTCTCTGAGGTAGGACTCGGCTCGTTGCGATGACGCCCACTCCGGGAACAGATTTTCGTATCGCACAGGATCAGCAAGGGACTCGCCAATTTTCTGTAAAAAAAACGATTATTGATACAATTACTATGACAATGTATCTAACACGCACGGCGCTGTTGCAGTTTCACGTAGTGTTAATGCTCGCGAAAAGTATCAGAACTGAATATTTCATTACAAAAAGCTCATGATGTGAAAACAAAAATTATCCCGCGTTATTTTTTTCACCTTCGCCAGACTGCAAGCACTTCATTGGTATTTGAATTTTCTAATCCTATTTCTAGTTTACTCGAACGTAACTGCTTTGGCAACTTACGACACTTCTGTTAGGTGGAGAAAATTACAAACCCAACTTGTTCGCTCCTTTCAAATTCTCCACAGATTAGCAACTTTTCTCCAAAAGGAGGTCCGCAAGTGAGGCAAACGTGTGTAGACTAGCATAAACTAAGTGGCCAGAGGTAGGCAAAGCGGAAGAGCGCGCTTGAAAAGTTAGCAAGTACCCACTATTTCGGAAAACAAGAAGAGCGTCGACACACCGCAAATTACTATAATCAAGAAAAGAGAAAAGAAGAAGCTATTATGCATTTTTCTCGGCCGTCATGCCTTGTGGTGTGTGGTCTGCACTCGACGCTCTTCTCGTTTTCCGAAATAGAGGGTACACTTATCAACCTCTAGTACTATAATTTTTGAGGAATTCTGGGGTAAAGCAATCTCGTGCTCACCCGGGTTGTATTTTTCTGTACACGATCGGCCTTCTCCTTCCAAAGTTCCATCACTCGCGGCAACTGAGACGGGCAATGCGTCCTTGCGAAGAAAGCCGCCTCAGGTATGCGATCTGTTCTAAAGATTCAAAACTACAGTATGAACATAAGGAAAATCATAAATTTACGTGAAAATAAGTATACAACTTCAACCACTACAACATCCAAAAAACGTACGCAATCAAAGAATCGATGCAGGCATCCACATTTCCAAGTAGAAGGCTAGTCGTGAAATGGACGTTGTGATGACCATTGGCAGAAGAATCCGCGGCTAACTAAAGTCTCGCCTTACAATAGTGTAAAACGTGTGAAATAAATGGGCTATGGCCACAGTAATGTGAAAGTGAGCAGACCTTGTTAAGTAGCGGAGCCGATCCAGCACAAGTCGCAAGAAGCAGAAGACCACCATAGTCCCGCGCCCGACCAAGGCACTCTCCAGCAAGCATAAGCTCTGACTTCAGCGTCGCCGCCTCAAAAGAGAAAATTTGTTGATTGATTCGCCAGATCAACTAATCAAAATTTTTGGTGCTCACCTGACTGAGGAGTTTCCATTTCTCCTCACTGTCTCCTTGCATGGCCAAATCATATGCAGTTTTGAGGTCACCGAGAGCCAAAGCAAGATCAAATCTGAACAGAATAATACTAGTTTTACAGTGTTCACGCAAACGTTAAGCGTTATTGAGCGTTGAAGGCTCAATAAAATTCTGTAAGGACCATATTATACCACCAGGAAACACTGTTCAACGGGATCGGCGAACAGAAAATTGACTACGGATCTTTGACACTCTCACTGCCTCTTCGGCAAACGTACGCGCTAGGCGGATGTCAGACTTCGAGATTTTCGCTACCAAATCGAGCTGTGTACTAACGGACCAGACTATGTGCCAGCGGATTGAACGATGTACCAACGACCCAAAACTGTTCGAAAGTGGCGGGACTTCCTTGAATGTGGGCTCTCGCCACTTTCCCCCGCCCACAAGTGCATGAGAGAGTGAGACATGAGAGCTTGAGCTGCATCGTTCTATCCGCTGGCACATCGTTCGATTCGCTGGTACACACCTCGATTCGCTGCTGCAACGCTCGTGTCCAGCGATTCGCTAGCGAATTGCAAAGTCTGACATCGCCCCCACGTCTACGACAACGCACATTTTTCTCAAAAAGTATAAAGGCATGTATCTTGTGATCTTTACCAAGTACTGAGGAATTTGAACTGTGGCTTGGGTACTGTGGAGAGAAAAAATTGGGAGAAATATGAAACCAGCAAGCAAGACGTACTTATGATCAGGATCCTGCGACACGGCGAGAGCTTGACGCTTGAAGCCTTGCTTCTCGAGGAAGTGTGCAACGCGAGTCCGTTGTTCTTTAGGGATTGTTGTAAGGACCTTAACAAAGCAAATTACCCATACCAAATGTCAATCCAAGCCCAGAGAAGTTTCTCAACATGGCTGGAAAAAAGAATCAAACCCAGTCAATCAAACATTTGAAAACGTGATTTCACCTTATCTGCGGTTTCGAAATCTCTTCTCATAACGGCCGTCTGGTATTCAAGCACACAGAGCAGTAGCTTGTATGAAACCACATTCAATTCCTTGTCTACAGCATATACACGCGATTCCTTGGCCATATATCCGAGCTGAAGACAACAAGTCAGTCAGAACAACGAATATTTTTTTGAACAATTAGCAGTTTCACATAAAGAGCTTACCCCTAACAAGAGGTCTGTCCATGTGAGCAATAGTTACTATTTCTCCTCCTACGTAGTAGTTGAGTCTGTTCAAGGATGTCGTGAAAACAAAGCAGTCTCCAATCCACAAAGCTGTTTTCACACCTTCCGCTTGTTCACCTGAATACAAAACAGTCCTATAACTATCCCTACTTCAAACCCTGAAGAATTCATTTTCTCCTATTAGCTCTACGCCTATCGTGCCCAATGCCACTCCACCTCTCACCTAACACAACCGCTATTGTGTCCTAACCAAGCAGCGCTACCTTCGTCAGATAACGCGCAAGTAAAATAATTTGAGACAAGACAGGTACACACATATACGCCCCCTTCTTGCCTTGCCCATCTTTAGCCTAAATCGGCACAGAACCGACTCTTACAATTTATCGCGAAGTGCCATATCGCCATTCCTTTCCTGATCAGGATAATGCAACGCAATAAGTTAGAAGTGCCGGGTTGCCGGGCGCGGGGTCAGAAGTTTACGACAAGGGCATTACGGTCTTTTGCCGTGACCACCGCTCCCAAATGCTCGTGATGCAAAGGTCTGTGAGTTGGGATTTCTGCCGAGAGCGCTGCACTCTTCCTTAGCGGTTGTTCAATTGTTTCAGTTTCGAATGAACCCACCAACAACTTCAAATGTATCCTCCACTCCATCCTCAGTGATTTCTTCAGCAGAAGCACTAGCGAACGCTTCTCGAGTTGTATTTGAGCACATAGAATGAATCTTCTCCACAGATTGCGACCTGGATACAACAGAAAAAATAGATAAAAGACATTATGCAACAAATTCAGCGACATCGACGTATACACCTATCCGCCAAGCTCCATAGCCAACCAACCATTCTCCGTGCACTCCAGTAAACGTGTTTCGCAGCAATTTCTATTCTTCGCACAAGCTGTGCCGTCTCCCAATCATAGAAGCAAAGACTCGATGCAGACCGAGCAGCCAACAATGGTCCGCCATCAATCCCTTCCATGACAGCATCAGTGCGCAGCTGTTTGTATTCCTGCAAGAAAATAATGAGAATAAAAACTTTGTAAAACACAGATAAATTCATACTTTGAATTCTCTTGACTTCACGGCGCTGCAGATTCTCCGAACCCAGGCGACATATTAGATCCGTCTCCAAACAAATTCGAAGCCCCTGCTAATAAAGGAAATGCTCACCAATGCTAAATCGAACATCCCTCCCTTCTTCACTAGCCTGCACCCCGCCAGCGCACCGGTATCACAACTAGGCATCTGATTAACGCAATGACAGAAATCTCACCCTTGAAGTGTCGAACACGAATTCTACGGAATTTTGTATAATCATGGAGTAACGCAAATCCGAGCCGAAATCCGAAAACAAATAGTTTTTGCATCCTTCCAAAACACCAACAATCAGTCGTAGAGATTGCCAAATATATAAAAGCGTTTGCTTTGCCAAAATATGCAACATTAAGATTTGTGCACCCGTTTTCATTTGGGTCGAGAGCGGTCCTCACTCCCCTGCTCCGCTCGAGCTTAATAAAACATAATTAAAGCCAGTATGGAGATAGAAGCAAATGAACTTATTTCGAATTTGATTAGGAGAATAGGGATTGTGACACAAGGAAGGACAGAATATATAGGATGGATCTATCCTTAGATTTAATATGGGGAAGAGCAGTATCCAAAGGTTCAGTCAGACTGAAAGGGACGACTATAACGGTGGAGAAGTAATGTGTGACTGCGAAATGCTTGGACAAATACTCGAAAAAGTTACTGCGGAGCTTCTAGAGAAGAGAGCAGCAATGAAGAAGGAACGGGAGTTGAGTAATGTCATACTGTTCCTCACATCATGCTCAATCGTTCGCTTTCAAAAATCTATCAGATTTAAAGAGATGAATCCCTTGTAAAATCGTGCGAGAGAATCCAAGCGAACGCCTGTTTGACACTCGCTCCCAATCGTTTGCTCTCATCAGAAGGGAAACGTATGGAAATCGTAAAATTTGCTCTACTGCATGACTCCCTCCATCTACTTCCAAGACATTGCTTCTTTTCGCACAGAAAAGACGGACGCCACTCATGCGCCATGTGACTCACCTGACCGAAATCCTTGTTTCGTAGTGCCATTGCTGTGTAAACGATGTATTCTCCATCTCCACAGGCAACGACGAAACGTCCATTGGAGGAATGAGCGAGAGTTTGCGGATAAATCTCACATGCACCCAAATCCTTGACCGATAGGGGCAGCCGTTCACCATCTAGATGTGAATTATCAAACACAGCATTTGATTGCCGAAAATCTAAACATACCTTGAATCGCTTCAGAAGCTTCCGCGTCCAAGGTCTTGAGGTTCGCCTGTTGAATTTCTGAGTGCCGCGCCCAAAGAATTTTGCCCGACTGATCCATGCTCACCTAAACACACACATTCAGGCCCCTCTTTTGAGAACAGACTCTCAAAAAATCAAGAACAAAAGAATGAGAACAAAATCTTACAGCGGGTTCTTCTCTGCCCAGTTTCAGTGTGACCGAGCCCTCGTCATATCCAATAGCAACTGTATTAGATCCTCTCTGTGCTTGGATGCACCACACACGTTCCAAGCCATAATTGAGCGTTGTTTCCAATCTGGAGACATAAAATAACCATCTTGTTGAAGAAAAGACTAAATCGGAATGGTCAACAAAAATGTTGACCGGATTCTGATTGAAAAAATGAGGCGCATTCTTCAGCACCAAAGCGAAATTCGATTCTAATCCGAAGGCCGAAAGCGTATTTTTACCTATACGTGCTTGCATGCCAGAGACGCACAGTAGAATCTTCGCTGCCTAGAATGACTCCAATAAGAAAATCAATTGAGCATACTTATGAAAAACGTACCTGTGATAATAAGAGGAAGCTCTGGATGGAAACACACCGAAGAGACATTCTGCGCATGTCCATCCAAGGTCTGGACGCACGTCTTGTTCTAAAAAGGATCGATAATCAGTGAAGTATTTCTTCATCGAAATCGTATAAAAAAGCACCACATTATACTAACCTGATAATCCCAAATCTTTACTAAATGATCATCAGCTCCAGAAATGAGATATGGTTTATCTCCTCCGTGATAATAATCCACACAATTTACCTAAATGAGAAAAGCGATGAGTTGTGAGAAACATCGACTAAGGCGTAATTAACTCACTCCTTTTTCATGCCCTTCCAAAGTGAAATTCGGCTGTTGGCTGCCAAATTGCCAAACCTAAAAAAATCATTAGGGCAGCTGATAGTGCCAATGGGTTTGTAAACATCCCAATCTTACCTTGACTGTTTTGTCAAGTGAAGCCGTAGCAAACGTGTTGTTGTCCTTAGGATTGATAGCTACTTGCATCACATAATGAGTGTGGCCTAAATTTTCGTATCGCTCAGATTAGCTGCCTGCTATTGATTACTAAGAAGAAAATTTTGTCAATGTACGCCAAATAGTGAGATAATTTCGTTGAATAATTTGTCCATTAAACGAGAACGCAGAACGAGAGGAAGAAGAAGAGGGAAGAAAAAGAAAAGGAATAGAAAGAAGGGAAAATACGTTAGAAGCTCCGTCCAATGGAGAACAATAAGGGAGCAATATTGCTGTGCTAGCCAAATTTAGCTACATTAAAGGGAAAAGCTTCACACTGCATATTTCAAAAAGAAAATTGAAAAAAGAACGATGGGGAGGATGTTTCCAGCGAACATGTCAAAGCAGTTTCACGAATGCAGAACGTTTTTTTTTTGAAAAGAATGCGGCGCCATTATGGTTGTCTTGTGAATAGAAAACACAGTACAAGTGAGTTATAATTTCGCAGCGCATACAAAACTGGAACCCTGATTGAGAAGCGTGCACAATCGAGGATACAACGCTGGATTTCTTAAGACGTCACGAACCCAAGCGATGCTAGAAAATGCATTACCTTCAAAACTCTGCTTCATCTGCCATTTATTGTCCCAATCCCATAGTTTGATCATCATATCGTCACTTGCGGTGATCACAAACGACTGAGTTGGATGTACTACTATTGACCTAAGCAGGAAAGTTTAAAATGTAAGAGGTAAAAGAATAAAAATGTGTTTCCAAAGCAAGTCACAGGAACCAGGGAAGACTTACCTGAGATAATCCGAATGTGCTTCAAATTGATGAACTCGTTCAAGAGTGTTGTAATTGAAAATTCTGATATGCATATCGTCCGATCCAGTCACTACCCAATTTTTTCGAGGAATGAATTTGGCAGCACGCACAGGCAAGTCGCATACCTGGAAAACAATTGCTGCTGTAGCTGTATATTGTGGGGTTTGTCAACCATACAAATATGGAAAGCCTATTTTTTGAAATGTCGACCGTAAGGTGTAGATGATTTGATTGAATACTTAAATGCTGCCAACTGACAAGTCACCTTCTGAACTGCTACAAACTAACTGCAAAACTTAGTCAAACATAACCATGATGAAGAAAAATCAAGTGAACAATCCTTCAGCGCTGAAATCATGGTTATTGTGGCACTCTATCCTAAAATGAGCTCAAATTCCAGGATCTCCGTATTCACAGAGATGCCACAGCCTTCTACAACAATCAAATTTTGTCAATGCCTTTAAAGCCAGCGTTTTTACTGTGTCAGGGTTGTCACACCAAAACAGCACTGCGCAAGTCACGCTCACTTTTCAATATTAGTACAAACTTGGCTTCATTTTTCCATTATATGCCTGCACTACAGTTTTGAACATAACGAGCAGTAGCGAACCACATTTATTCTACATATGGGGCAAGAATAGCGAAGAATAAAGGGTAAATTTTGATGCTCAATAGAGAAAATTTGGTAGCTAAATCGGAATAGGCGCTTTGTCAACTAACGCATAACTAATAAAATTAACTAATTACATAAAATAAGAAGGTATAATCAAATACTGAACAGCTACTCATAAGATGAAATATCCGGTCAGAAACTCACTTCGAAAGATTTCACAAGCTGTTGATTGTCATAGTTCCAGATGTGGACGTTTCCGTTGTAGAGAGCGGCTAAGAGCCATGGCTCAGTTGGATGAAGATCAACGCATTTCACGCGATCCGATCGTGCCAGAAGCTTTCTTTTTACGTCCAACCGTAATGGCATCCCCTTAATGGAGCAGTTGAAATAGCCAGCACAGAATTACAAGGACAGGGCCTCATCCAGTAAGTGGGGCATTGCGGTGCACAGTAAGCTCTTGTGCCAGTTTGGCTGAATGAGCCCTTTCAAGTTACGAGCCGCAACCAGCTTTAACTCTACGGTATTTCTTCAGTTTTTCGAATAATTTATGTTCTTAAGCTGGATGACATAGACTCCTTTGAAAGTAATATTCACTTAATGAGCAGCTAGGACTAAACCTAGGAGTGGAGAGGAAGTCCCCGGGGAGAACGACTATTGCTCACAGACGCGGTCCCTCCCCCTTCTAAAGCTTGATCCTTGATGTTAACAACAAAAGTATATGCTTTCCTTGATTTCAAACGCGTTCAGCGCTCTGAATAGCAATGCCCCTCTTACAGGATGAGAGCCCAAGGACACATGTACAATAAAAAACGAGACGAAATTTGGAAAAGGAGAAAGAAGAACAACCGATGGGCTACTTCCGCAAAGTCTCACTAATTCGCATTTTCGCCACTACTCGGATTGTAGAATGACGAGCTTCTAACTGAGAGGCTAAGGCCAATGATTATAACACGTACAAATACGCAAAAAGGATCCTATGTTCTTGCTGATCACTGTAGGGTACCGAAGAAAGGAAAACAGTTAGAATAAACGGCCAGCAAAGCAAAGGTCACATTGAGGAACAAGGAAGTTTCAAGTAAGTTTGATGACGACGTCTACAACAAGAAATCGATCGCAATAGGAAAGGATCCGAGCAAATTCGCCAACTCGGTGTCCGCAAGACCGCCGTCGTGGCAGCCCAATTTTGCACAACTATTACTGTATCGTACGCTGAAATGATAACTTGGCCTGGAGACTTTGGTGCGTTGTCACTAACGCTTGCCTGGAAATGCACAAAAAGCCTTATTCTCAATAAATACTGATAACGATGTAATTGGAAATATGAGAAGTGCATGATAATAAATGTCCAGCTTCGGAGTCTTCGTGTACTTTCAAATTTCACAGAGTTAGCAAGAGATGAACCAGAAAATGGATGAAAATCGAATGGAATATTACCATCTCTGGAGGATGTGTGAAATTTTTATAGGTTTCCACAGCACAGCATGTGGCGTGCCCTCGTTTTCGTAACCGGACCTAGTCACCGCTCCTTTCTGTTGGCGCTCGAAGTTGCCCAAAATTTGTTTATAAGTACGAACAGTTTATCCTACCATTCTAGCCCTCCTTAAAGGCAAGATTCAAGCTTAAACTGATGAGGTAATTCTACTCAAATGTGATGTAGGGGTGGAGGTGGACCGCCAGTGGAGAAAAAAGGAAAAAAAATCGTGAAATACACAGGAAATACGAGCCTTTTGCTCTACGTTGCGGAGAAGTTCAAAAGGCCGGCAGGGAGATGAGAGATAATGTGAGCGCGGAGAGCGGTAGAGAAATCCGAGAAGAGAGAGCATAGCAGATCAGCATTGCGACGCAGACAAAATATCGAGCGGTGGGCGGAGCGTGTCGCAACAGGTGGAGCGTGTCAAAGTCCTTGGCCCCTAGCGCCTTAGTGACGCATTTGGATGCGGGAACTTGGCGAGTCGCCTGCAGCTGTCCCATGCACTTCTAGCCACTTTAAGGGCTTATTAGGTGGGTCTGAGCCCGAACTTTGCCTTTAAGTAATTATACCGTACTT